TTTAATACTTGGAGTATGTATTATACTTTCTTATCTGAGATTAATCAGTGGACCTTTCGGTTTTTGGAAAATGCCTATATATAGTCATGATAAACCTATATATGGTCATGATGTGATGTAATCATGACCATATTTAGTATTTCACATGTTTTTGTCAAGTACAATAGGATATTTTATCCTATTGGATAAGAATGAAATATTTTATATATAACAGTTAAGTAAAAAGAATATCTTCATTGTTTAATGATTTCTAATTATTGTTTTAGTTTATATAGGACTTCAAGATGAGCATAAGTTGATGACTCATCCAACTGGTCTAAGTAAGCCTGCACTTGAATTTGGTGTTATGATGCCACAGGTACAGAAGATGATACTGTCGCCACGGGAAAATCGTCGAGGAAGTCCGGCAAGCAGGCCATCATCATCGAGGCCAAGACGAAACTCCAGCCCTCAGTACAGTAGTAGGGAGGCCTCTCCATCACCGAGAAGGGAGATTTTTATTGGTAAGTTATATTTAAGTAATAATTATTATCAGCTTGTGAGGTGACAGTAGACCCTATGCCGTAAGAGACAGCTTAGCTCAGTCAGCTAAGTTACGATAGCGCACCGTCTTTCGAATGAGACGTTTAAGCCGTTGGTTCTGCGTGCATTATGGCCAATGTACACGTTAAAGAACGAAGTACACCCTTCAGAAAAGAGTAGGGGACTTTTCCCGGTGTTCTGTCCAATCACCACCAGAATGACCACACTAAATTTTTTTATAGACTTTCGTGGTTTTCCTTGGTATTTACACCAAATAAATCCATCCATCCATCCATCCATGCAATTGAAGCTACTAAATGAATAACTGGTTTTCTGCAGAACTTCATTCTGTGAAACGTATGAAGACACTAGCATCTTGGGTTGTATAAGCTTAGATGATAATTAATCTAGTTATAAAATATGTTGCACAGTGTTTAACTTTAAAATTGATGGTCATGTATTTGATGCTCGGTGTGGCTGAGATTGTTACTTGTTTCATTTGGATTTGTCTATCAACAGGCGTATAAATCTTTAGGTTAGATAGCTGGATGTCAGTAACTTGGAATACCATTGGATTAGGTGGACTAGGTGTTTCCTGGGTTTCACAGTGTTTATTACTTGGCTCTGTATCCACCACACAAACATGAACAGAGGCTATGCTCTCACACGGCTGCTAACGGTTAGCAAGATCCGGATCTTGCTAACCGTTAGCTGCCGTGCATCCATACGAGAAAATCCCGATCCGGATACCAAAAATATGATGATCGAATCACTGGCCAATAAGAAACTGGAAATTGTAAACGCGTACATGTGATTGGTTGATGATAGAAGCGCGCTCAACTTGCTAACCGATAGCGCTAACCGTTAGCGGTATCCGGATAGAGCTAACCATTAGTGCTAACCAATCAGGCGCTCTCACGCAGGTGCTAACGGTTAGCTCCCGATCCAGATACTAGGACTCTTGTGAGAACCAGGCTTTTATTAATTTGTTATTCATTTTACAACCTAAAAAGTATATAAGCTTATTTCTATTTAGATTATTAACTTAATTTTTAGTTTAAACTATCTTATAATGTAGCGATGTATTTTTGTATAATTTTATACTGCTTTTTTTATTATAGTTTAGTTCTTTCATTTATAATTATTAAGGTGTTGCTATACTTTTTTTTGTTAGTCTGGTTGTATTTGTAACGTTTGACCGTACCACAATTTGTGGGTGCCGCCATTTCAATGTGAAGCGTCGGCAAAGAAATAAATAAAAACAATAGAAACCAACAGTATTATCTCTATAAATATTTATGAAATGTATTAAAATTCCATATCCGCCAAATATAATATACAGTATTTAATTTTTTAATTTTTTTATTAAGGAATACCGTCATCTCATAAGAGCGATAGTACAAATTCTTTGATAAGTGAAGATCAATCTATGGATGATATAACACCAGATTCACCTTCAAGCGAAGAGCCTTTTTCAAGCCAGGAATCACCCTCAAGCCGAGATCGAGTCTGCAGTCAAGATACACCCTCTATCCAAAAGCATGCTACCCCACGAATACTAATCAAAAGGCCATCATCTGCACCCCTCTTCAATAACTCTAGGCCTGATGGTATGAGTCAATTTAGACCCGTCTCACCAGCTAGCCAGTCTGAAAGAAGATCTTTTTCCCCACATTCAAGTTCAACATCGCCCGTCGTGGTTCAAGCTTCATCAGCGAGGGCTAAGCCAAAGGGGAAAGAATGGAATGGGAGACCTCTACCCGTGTTTGGAGAGTCCACGGTATGGCTACACATCTACAGCAAAACTTTCCTAATTCATAATACTATTTATTACATTTGTAAATATAGCATTTAAGAGAAGTAGAAGGAAAAAAATTTGATTGTGTCATCCTGGCTAAAGATATTAGTAAATAAATAAAATAACCTTAACCTCTAACCTTGTATGGCTTGGCATTTTACCAGGTTGTAGATGATGCAGCTGTAGAGAAAATCAAACAAGCGAAGGAATCCGTGAAGATCCGAGATCTATTCTCAAGTAAAGCCAGCAGGCAGTACATGAAGGAGAAAGAACGACGTGAACGATTAAAATGGGAGAAAATGCAGAAAGAAGATGAGGAGAACTTCAGGTAACCTACTTATTTATTCTTTATTTAGTTACATGATGTTATCTTCTTAAATGTGATGGCCCCATGATTGTCAGAATTTAGATTTTTTTTGGCTAACTTTGTTGTATAATACTAAATTAAATAATATTTTTTTAAAGCTGTCTGTTCGAAAAGTGGAGAATCTTAAATGTATATGATGAATCTTGCATAATTAACTTAACTTTCATTAACTTGGTAGTATGACAAATGGCTTCCAAAGGTCTTACACCAAACTGATTAAATATTCGGTTATTTTCATCATATTTGTGCCTCAATGAAAGTTATAATCAGTATCATAAAATGATGTATTTAAGATTAATTTAAAAATATATGACAAAAAAAATTGTTCTTGTGTATTTTATGTTTGTTATTCCAACATTATATTGTAATCATTTTAGAACGTACCAAGAACAGCTTTGGCGTAGGGATATGGCGCTGTTAAACCGAAGTGACATTACATACCACAATTGGGAGAAGGAATACATGGCAGATAAGGCGTTGCGTGAACGTATGAGGCTAGATAAAATGAACTCCCTCCTACACAAGTATGTATACATTTTTATTATCAATTGTCAGTTGTGCAAGTTGGCATCATCAATTTTTGTGGGCCTGTATTAATACTCTATCCCTGTTTAAAATTAAAACATCCTGAAGTGTACATTGTGTTAATGGCCATAGTTTACTGTTAATGTAGACTGGGTTGCAGTCCCAACGTTTTGTCCTAATCAGTGAAAACTATTAAAAATAAATCTATTTTGGCACCAATGGCGTTCCATATTACTTATTTGCATGGCATCCCATACTATACTTTTTGGGGGATTTGTTATCATCCAAATTGAACAACATAACGAAAACAGACGCTGGTGGCACTCCCTAAAATTATCTAACACTACGAAAAGTCAATAAGTTAGAAACTTGTGGCAATTTAAATGTAATACCATTGCCATAGCGCCACTGAACATTGCATTCTGTTGTGGATATCGGCACTAGACAAATCCTTGTTGATTGATGCTACCATAAACAGACATACAATGAATATATTGAATCTATAACCTTAGAATATTCATTATTACCAATCAATTAATCATGAGGCAAAAGTCCCCGTTAGCAGAAATGGTCCATATAGTGAGCTGTCTGGTAGTTGAGAGTGAGCTGTCAAATGGTCCAGAGGGAGCTGTTAGCACCTCCATAAACTTCCATTATTGCTATTTTTCAGATTAGCTAATATTAATGTATATTTAATAGCAACTTCATCCCTGGTAGAATTTTTAATTTTATTATTGCAGGCAAGGAATCCAGAATAAGAAAACCATGAGCTATTTGAAGCGCATTGGACCTCATGTCGATGTTTGGGAGTAAGTAACCAAGGAAACTATTTTATGAATTATCTTTATTTTTTCATTGTTAATTTTTAGTCTGATACATTTATTGTATATTTTTAATATGAATATTAATTTTATTTTCTCTGTGTAGATTATTTCATGGAGAGAAACGAGGTATTAGTAAAGGGCAGATGAAGCGTGCTGTAACAACAATTCAGAAGTAAGTATCCAGACTGAATTAGCTGAGGTGGCCCAGACCATCTATCCCTGGGCCACCCTCATTTTCAAATCCTGGATCCACCACTGACACTGTGAATTATATGACATCATATGTCTTCTAGGCCTTAAATTAATGAGTTTAAAAATCCTATCAGTTGTGGGTATAGAATAATAATATCAGTTGTTTGACACCTCCATTTTATTACAGATACGTACGTGGGTGGATTGTACGAAAGAAGCTCAAAGAGGTCAAGTTGAAGTCACGGGTTCATGCTGCCACGTTTAAGAAGTTTCTGGACTTGTATTGCGGCATGATGAAGCGTATTGCACACCGCTATCTCGTCAAGAAACCACGCATTTACTTCGATCTTTGGCAGTTGGATGAATTTATGGAAAGAAAAAGACGTAATGACAAATCAAAGAATTTTATTTATTATATTCTCTGCAATGTTATTAACATTTTCTGATGAACTCTCACATATGTCTGAAATATGTAACATGAACTAGTACATTGTCTGTTATATAATTATGATAAACATGTATGATAGACAAACTACTGTGTTGTCAATGGGGTATATGTAACGATTACATTATTATTTAAGTCGTGTTCAGGTTAAAGACCAAGTATAGCTTGGTTTCTATCGCTACACACCATCACCGACAGCTTTTGGTGATGCTGATTGGTCAGTCGAATCGGGAGCCTTCTCAATTGCGTCAGGGACTGCTACGCAGCAAAACGATTGCGCTGAAACTTGGTAGCGACAGTGTAGCGATTTTAAGGAGACAAGGCTTATTTCACACATAGACTATTAATAACCAATAAATAGTGGCTTCTGATTGGACATTGGTTTTCATCTTCTTTATTAGACTATGAATATGTGTTTGCGAAGCGAGCTCATCCCGGGGACGAGTTGGAAATGAAGGACCTGGAGATCTACTTCAAGGAATGTGATCACTACCCGTCAATCACAGAGATCCATGATGCCGTCAGGCATGTCACCAAGAGTAAGTGATCTTCACCGTCGGTGTTTTGACCAGTTATGTACCTGGGAATCTTGAAATGGGAGAGGGGGCCTGATGTGGGCACGAAGGTGGAGTGGTGGGCGCTCAATGATTAATTAAGCAGGATATAGGTCACAAAATATGGTGATATGAGGTGATTTTTAACTGCTTGAGTGGGATATTTTTTTAGCGGACATTTGCAATGGTGCGGGGGACGGCTGGGGGTGCCCCAGGACCCTCTATATAATCCACTGGTTTTGAATGTCAGACTCAAGAGACACTGGTTGATAATGTATAATTCCCACTGACAGATTTATTTGTTGATAGGATTGAATAAATGAATAAATAAATGAATGTACACTTGTATAAATGAATAAAATAATATACTGTATATATTATAATAATAATATGAATGAATAAATAAATTAAATGAATAAATGATGGATTGATTTATAGCTTGATTGATATATTGATTGGATAATTGATAAATTGATTGAATGATTGGTTTATTAATTAAATTAATGGTTGATGAATGTATTGGTTGATTTGTTGATAAATTGATTGGTGGATTGATTGATTTTATTGATTGGTTGCAGGATTTGATAGATTGATAGTAGATTGATTATTAGCTTAGTGGATTAATTGATTGTTGTTTTCCAGAAATATGATTTATTAAAGAATGGCTTAAAATATTTAAAAATATATTTCAGTTAAACAAAACATTAATGATAGTGATGATTGAAAGAAATGACAAGTTGTTGTTTCTATTTGTAGAAGATCCTGAGAAACCAGGATTAAAATTAAAAGAAGCACAGGTCATTGAGACGTCTTTTCAAATTTATGTGCCGCCTGGATGTGGATTAACAACGGATCAAACTCGCAAATCAACTTGGCTTAATCCCCTGGTGAATGGCGTGGAGGCCAAGAGGCTCATGGGTAAAATTATCAAGTGTTGAATATTTTGTAAAAAAATTAATTCTAGTAATGGTGGTAGTAGAAGTTTCTTAAGACCCCTTTGGGTAGACAAGACCCCCTGTCAGTGACAACTTCGACTAAATATTAGTTGTTATGAGCACAATGTGCTATAATATGCAATCCCAAATAAGAGCGTCCCAAAAGTGGCTTAAATATGCTGTGTTTTTCTGCACAGCAAGATGAAAGCCCATAGCCTACCAGGCCTTCGTTTCTGGACTCCGACCAGTATTACTGCAGTCCCGAGAAATTTAAGCACCACTGTCTGTAAAAAAGCTTTGCCTTCCCTATCCCCAATTATATATCCACTGTTGATTCATTATGGCATTATCTCATTAATTGCTTATATGTTTTAATGATAATTATACTCAATTATACTCTGAATAACAGGAAAAATGAAAGAAAATATGTTTGAACAATTATGTAGTGATTATGTAGTCAAATTTTTATCTTTTTAGGAAGCTCTGAAGTTGAAAAGGCTCAGTTGAGAAAATCAATGTCTCTGGTGTTTGGTGTTTTCAGGGAAAGAAAAGAAGAGGAAGAGTTAAAGAATTCTGCAGAAACAACTGATAATTAATAATACTATAATGTTATTGTTGAGAGATTGTTGTAAAGAAATATTCAGATAAAACATTTGTATGTATATATCTATATTTTTGTTTAATTATGCTGCACATGATAAATACATTTTGAATATACTGCAATTTATATACTTTAATATATGAATTATATTAATGAAGCTAATTTTAATACTTGACTATAACTTATATTTTTATATCAATTTTATATAATACTATTGATTTCTTTGAAATATAAACCAATTATGTTAATACGTTGTCTATAAAGATGTGAATATCTTATGACAGTATTATTTAAAGTAATACATTGTTTAAAATAGCTGCTTCAGTTATAGTTATTGATTCTTTGTTTTATGTGCCTGCTGTTAAATTTATATCCATTGCTTCTATAGCTGCAGCAAATCGTATATCTGTTGTGTATGTATGTGGCAAAGACAAGCCAAACCAGTTACTTGTTGCCAAAATTTATTTTTAAGTTATAAAGAGTAGAGCTATGAAATGGTAAAAGAATCATTTAAATCCGACATTTCGTTATGAAGTTACAGGAGTTTAAGCATTCAGTTGTTTAAAGAACAGTATTTGAGAGATCAGCCTTCAAAGTTTATGATTTGGGGCATTTTACAGCCAGAAACCATCACCAAATCGTTAAAAATTGTTGTTTCAACATTGAAAATATGGAAAATAACAGCAATATTAGTTTAGTGCAATAAAATAGATTTCAGAAATTTTGACATTCCAGCATGTTTTGGCCATTTTCTTTGAAACAGGATTTGGGACGAGTGACTTGTTTGGCTTGTCTTTGCCACATATATGGAATTAATTATAGATTATTGTTTTTAGAGAAGTATTTTTTTATAATTTTAATAATTGCCTTCCATGCTTAATTTATTACAGTATCTACCATATATATTTCAATAATTATCTTTTATATAAAACTTTTTTCAATGATTGCCTTTCATAGTTATTTTATTCAGTGGTTTCCTTTTTATTTTAATGAATGCTTTTCATTTGTGTTATCCCAACGATTATCTTTCATACTTATTACGTCACCAATTGCCTTTCATACATATTTTTTCAGTGACTGCCTTTCATTAAATTTAAAATGTATTAAATTAATTCACTTTGGCAAATCCAGGAGGTAGCAAAAAGGGTACCCACCCCGACGGAGCAGCCAAAAAATTACTAACAAAACTGTGAAACTCTTTTAGGTAAACTTTCCACTTTCAGAATTCTTCTCCTTCGGACCAAGGCCTCTTTTGCCACCCTGCAAAAATTCTGGATTTGCCACTGATTCATGTACTTGAACATAGTAATGTTGATTTGTGATATGTGATGATTTTTTTTTATTTTCTCAATAAAGCTTTGGCAAAACAGATGTTTTACCAAATGTATCTTAATTTATTGTCAACTGCATCATTGTGTTTCACTGCTTCAAGAAGGAGCTGTTTATAAATAATAATAACATTTTAGCATTTATATAGCGTTATCTTTCAGAATACCCAGAAAATAGAGGATGTTGATATTTCTGAGACTAACGTCAAAGATACTGAAAAAAAAATCAAGAACTGAATTCAGTACATTTCACATATAGTTTATTTACAAAATATATAAATATTTTTACACAGGAATTTTAACAATAAAACTTGTGTTGTGCAATAACAATTTTCAATAACAGTATTAATTTTAACTTGTTGAATAGCTGCAATTAGTGGATGTGATAATGGAGGTTTAGGCCTCAGGAGGCCGACACTGTCCTCCCGCTACGGATCCTACGAGAGTTGTCTCTGCCAGCGTCTGCTGCTTTAGCTGCAGCCTCGGCTTCAGCGGCTGCCTGAGCTTGGAACTCGGCTACCCGCTCTAAAAACTGCAAAAAAAAAAAGATTTATATTCTAAAGTAAATACAAGAGAGATGATGTGTATACGCTGGGTCCATTTATGACCAAGTCACTTGTCCGCGCCCCCCCCCCCCACCACAAC